CCTATTGCTGTTTTTCACACTGTGAGCTGTAACCATAAACAAAGAACCATCTTGTGCTAAATGCTCTCTGAAAAGAAGAGCTACAAAAGGGCCTCATAAGAGTCTAGGTCTCATCCTATGGTCCTTGTCAAATGGAACTCCTAAATATTTGCTTAAATGATCTTGGCTTAAGCAAAACTCAACCTAGTGCTCAAAGCATTGTTCTGAACCGAGCCCATGGCAGGGAGACTTTAAAGGGGGCACCATGGCCAGGAGACCATGGCAGATCCATCATCCCAATCCTTTAAAATAAAGGATGCCAAAACATCTCTTGGCTCTGCCCTGACCACCAGCAGTCTGCCAGGCCTTTCACAGGCTCACATGCTCCTGCTACTTATCTAGTGGGTTTATTTCCTGCCTCACAGGCAGTGTGAGCAGTCACACTTGGCTGTGTAGCTTCACTGCCTGTCTGCAGCCACTTTCTCATCCCTTGCCCAGTGAGCAGCAATAACTGCCCTCCTCCTTCCCCAACCCACCCAAACAACACCTCCAGCATCCTGGGTGAAAATGAGGCACGAGAGAGTGAAAGGATTTATCCAAGACCAAGCATGAGATATAATTCAGGGCTTCTGTCTCCTGATCTCTCTGCACCTTGGTGCTGACTTTCTCATCAACACAATATTCCTATGCTTTTCTTCGCAATCTGAGGAAAAATGTCCATTTCCCTTGTATCCTCACCCTAAAGGAAAAGACAGAGGCAAGCATGATGTGAAAACAGGAAGATTCCATGATACTGTCTTCTCATCTGCCACTAGCAACAAGTGCCTCAATGTAAAGCGTACATTAATTTAGTATTGAACAGATGGAAGAAAACTGTAGACCAAGCAGATACAGAAGAGTGGTGCTCAAACACTAGGAAAAATTACAGTAATAGGTCAGATATAACATCTCCCTGCTTTCCAAGCCAGATCCTTTTTCAAGGACTCCACTCTCACAAGCTAACACGAGCCTGCTCAGGGGGGAGCATTGAGGCCAGGTCTGCACGGGCTGCAGGACAGCCATGCCCCAGGTCCCCCTGGCCCGCTCCTCTCCCCCTCCCAGAGAAGTTGTCAGCAGAACCTGTTGGAGCAGGGGCTCGTTGACTGCTCCCTGTCCATTACAGCCTGGATTATAAGCATATTGCACAGTGCTCTCTGCACGGTGCTGGGGAAATCCAATACGCTGAAAGGTTAATGCAATCAATTAGGGTGACAAGGAAGTAGAGTAAAGCCTTCTGAGTAGATGAAAGGGAGAGAGAGATGGAGACAGGGAAAAGCAAGAGAAGCAGGGGGGGAGCAAAGAGTGGGAGGAGGAGAAGGAGGAAGATGGTATACAGGACTTGTGCTGTAGACCTCAGGGTGCTGGTGTGCCCCAGCATGGATGGGGTGGTGTCATTCACAGAAGCAAGGCAGGCCATGGGTCCCCAAGGCAGCAGCTGGGCCAGGACTCCCTGTTTGTGGCTTTTCCTGCCATCTCCTGCAGAATGTGGAGCCCTGCTCAAACTGCAGCTGCCCAGGTTCTCCTGCCATCAACCTGCTCCCTAAGGGTGATTGCTGGGGGACTGGCAAAAGTTCCTGTATCTTTCCTGTCCAGGTATCCAGAAGGCATGAAGGATTAGGCTTGTAAGGTAAAGGATCTCAGCAAGCCATGGGGGAGCATCAAGGGAGGAGAAAGAGGGAACAGGAAAGACAAAGAGAACTTCTGGCTGTTCATACACTCTGCACACAAAGGTAAATGAGCACCATCTCTCTGTAGACTTCCTAGTTAGACACTGGTCATCACCACTGGCCACTTACCCCCCCTTGCCTGTAAGCATCTGTAACTTAGGTGCTTTCTCACTTTTCCAGCCTCCTTCCCAGTGTGCCAGCCTGGCTCTCCTGCAAGGCCAGAGGACCAGCCCCAGCCAGCGCCCAGCTGCAGCAGCTTCACCCCTGCCTGCAGACAGTTCAGTGAGGGTGTCATGGCACTCAAGGCACCAGCACAGCATGGAGATCCCAGTGCCATAATGTACATCCTGCTGCTCCGTCCAGCATGGCACAGGCTTCCCCGGGGCACTCAGCCCAGGGAAGAGCCCCATCCTTCCCCTCTGGCCCCCGAGCTGCTGCTGGCTGGCTGCACTCCTGCTCCCTGACCCCCCAGCAGAGCAGTACTTCATTAACCTGGGCTGACAGGTCAGCGAGCACAGCCCCTTCCTACCACAGCTCCTGCTCGGGCACAGCTCAGCCAGGGAGAACGTGACACCAGCTCATTAGAACAAATTATTACTCTATAACCCCTGCTGCAATGTCCCTTAATATGCCTATTTAGCAAGAGACAAGTCCTGGTGGGCTCCTCGGCATTAAAACAACCTCACAAATCACCAGAGGCACAAGCACCACGATCTCTGCTTCCAGAGGTGGAGAGAGGGCGGCTGCTCCTTGGGTGGGTGCTGAAGGGGCACAGAGTCCTGGGCTCTTCCCCTGCAGCAAAATGAAGCTCCAGATGTTGCTGAGGGATGTTCTGCAGGCAGGGAGTTTCCATCTGGCTGTGGCTCACTGTGCTGCCAAACATGCCCAAGCTTCAGCACAACCAAGTGTTGTTCCCTCACTGAAATCCACTGAGGAAGTGTTCTGGGATGCCCATTAAACTGTTGGGCCTGTTTTTCTCTGCCTTATCCCTGCCTAACTCTGCCCTCAGCACTGCCATCAGTGTCATGTTCTGTGTTAGACCTACAAGATTTAAATGCTTCCCGGTGATATATATGAAGTCACTGCCTGTCTTTCCAAATCCATCTACAACACTAACCCTATGTGCTCACTCCTTCAGGTTAACCAGCCAAGCCAAAGAGCAAGTTTGGAAACTGACACTGATGGCAGGCACTGTGTGCTACCCTCCCCATGTAAGACCAGGCTACATTTTGGGGGATAAACCCACTGCACATGAAAGCAGTAGGCTCACACCTTTGCAGGGAGGGTTGTCAGCTGTCTAGGACTAATCCAGAAATCACAGAACTGCCGTAGTTTTGGGCACAGAGAGTGAGATATCACAGGCAAAGACAGAATTGCGGGCAAATGTCAGAGGAAGGCTGCTACTAAATAGGAGCAGGGAGCATGAGGAAATCAACCTCCAACCTGACCTTTAGAAGAGGGAAAAGGGAGAAATAAAAACAGTGATTCATATAGCAGAGAGAAGTGGCAGCAGTGCCAGGCAGGAGACAGTGAGAAAGAAAAGTAATGGAAAGAAGAGAAGAAAGTGTGAGAAGTGTGTGATGGCGGGCACAGAGAGGGGCAGGATGAAAGCAAACGAATGGAGGAACGAGGGACCTGAGAGAAGCAGAGAGAGGGAGGGCGGGAGGAAAAGGAGGAGAAAAGAGCAAGAATAGCCGTGCAGCGAGGAGCACACGGGCGAGGCCGAGCGCTGTAACCAGGGTTGTGAAGCATGAAAAGGGAAGAATCTGCCTGTTCCTTTCAGCACTTGGAGCATGGCGCTCAGTGGTGACCTACACTGTGCCTGGCTGTGATCACGTTTTCAGGGCCACTGCCTGCCGATCCCAAACAATGATGAGGAGCCTTTGAAGTCAGAGAAAGAAGCCGCAATGTGAACTGGGGACTTTCTTTTCCCCCCTTTTTTTCCCCTCCATTTTTTTAAGGGCCGGGGGAAGAAGGGAGGAAAAGGAAGGCCTGAAGTGGTGGGGGGAAGGCTGGGGGAGAGGTTGCAAGGACAGAACAGAGAGTTGCTCTCGGTGGGGTGCCCCGAAACGAGAGAGACAAAAAGAAAACAAACAGTTTATGAGTAGGGCACATGCTGCCTGTGTCTGCATGCCCCACACTGCTGGCCCCCCGTGCTCCAAGGGAGGCTTCTGTTCCCCAGCAATGATGGATGGATGCATAGGGCCATTCAGGCCTGCCATGTTACAGCAGCAGTATTTACATAACACTGGCCTTCCACCGGTCACCTCTGACACTGCCCGGCCCAGCCTGGGGCCCCCTCCCACCCCAGCCAGCCTGGGCCCCTCAGATGCTGCTGGGACTCAGTCCATGTGCTCCCCAAAACTGGGCATTGGGGGTCCCCACTGCTGCAGGGATGCTCTGAGCACACACACTGCACTGAGTGCTCCTGAGCAATGCCTCACAGGGCAGAGCACTTCCCGCCCTCCCCACAGCCTCTCCTGCCCTCAGACCTCTCTTGGTGCCTGCTGATGGAGGGGAAGGAAGAGAAGCCAGGGACAGCAGGAATGTCAGCATGGCAGGGACTTCTCAGTAACCATTGTCTGAGGTGGCATAGGGAGTGTCTTACCCAGCACATGGAGATAAGGCATTTAATAGACAAAATTATCTTCCATTTCCCTGGGATTTAGACCTCTAACTCTTACCAGGCACAAACTAAGTCACCATCCAAGCTCTAGGAGACTGTGAAGCTGGGTTTTTTTCTTTCTTTACCTAGACCACGATGGTCTAGGTAAAGGGAAAACCCAGGAAAGCCCTGATTCTGCTGCACACATGGAAATGCTTCCACACTACCACCATGGTTCTGCAGTCTGAATAGATAAAAATGTGCCAGAAGAGGAGGAGAACATGCACATCACCACCTGAATTATGTGAACTGAGCTCAGCAAAACTTCACAGTAGATGGAGACTGCATCCTATTCAGTGAAAGGACCTTATATCCATCTCCCCCATTACACATGCATGAAGATAAAGCAGTTCCCTTTCACCAAAATCCTCACACTTTTTTAGCTGTAAAGATAGAGGCAGTAGAGATGTTGAGGAAAACCCTCAGTGACAAAACCAGGTGCCCAGAACAACTGCTGTACAAAGACAAAGACAGGATTAGGACACACATATGCCATGTCTGTACTTGACCTTCTTCTGTTTCCATCTCTCTTCATGAGTAACAGCAGCCCAACCCCAGAAGATCTAGTGCAGACATGGCCACAGTGAGCAGGCTGCAAGTGTGAGAGATGCACAGAGGAAAAGAGAACCCAGGAGGGCATAGTGACATACCCATTGCAGTCTGAAGTCTCTCCTACCTTTCGGAGATTTCAAGGCCTCGTTTCTTGCCTCGTTTTTAGCTCTAAATTCACTTCATTCTGGAGTGAGAAAAGAAAGGATCCAGTTAACACAAAGGGCACACCTGAGTAAAAGCCAAGACCCACAAAAGCTGCGTAAGAACATGGTCCAGCATGGGACATTCAGACTCCACAAGAGAACAAAATGCTTTCCTGTTCCTGGCTGTACCCCACGGCACTTCTCCCTGAAAGAGGCTCCTAATGAGGGTTGGGAATCATTTCACATAGAGAGCAGCCATTATTGGCCTGAATCCTGCTCCCCAGGTACCAGAGACACACCTTGTGCTGCTCTGCTCTGTACTTTGCCTGCACATCTAAGGTTGTATTCTGCTCCATGTCAGATTTTCCCTCCTTAATCTTCATATTTCCTCTGCTGACCCCTCTTTCCCAGAGGTTCACCTGTGTGCTAATGGGAGGCCTCCCCTGTACACCTTGTGGGGCACAAGATTACGGGGTGCAGGAGTGGGTCCCATGTTACTGAACCCCCTTATCTGCTCATCTGTGCATTTTCCACCCAGGAGAATGCAGAGAGTGAGGACGAAGGAGAAAAGGGACAGGGGAAAAAAAGTCACAGCAAAATACATGAAAAGTAAATTGAATTATTTAAAACCATATGTTCCAAAAATGTGACAGAGCATAAAAGCCGTGCCATGAGACTTCTGGAGGGGGTTATTCTGCGCAGGCGGGGTGGGAGGAGAGCTCACGGCTGGGGAAGACTGCTCTGCAGCCAGACAGGGTCTTCCCTCTCCCAGAGCTGGGAGGTGGCCAGGGGCACAGGGTGGCTTCATGCACAGTGGCAAGGGTGCCTGGCCCATTCCTGTGGCCTCTGTTGTGCAGCCCTGGCAGAACAGCTCTCACAGCTGCACAGGGTGGCAGGAGGATGACAAACTGCCCCGAGGTCCTGCCCCGCGTGCCCGTGCTTGAGTCCAGGAGCCCCAGCTGTCCATGCCACACACCAGCTCTCCACACGTTCCCTTCTCCGTGCAGCAGCGACTCAGCCCTGCTGAGACCCTCTCGAGTCCCTTGCAGGACAAAAGGGAGAGGGATTCAGGGGACTCCGTGCTGCTGCCGTGGCTCACCCCTGTGTTCCAGGGCCCTGGCACACTGTGCACGTGGACGGCCTCCTCCTGTCACTTATACTCTGCCACTGCCAAAGATAGATGCCACATGTTGGCTGGGACCCAGAGCAGGAAGGAGCTGGTGAGATATCCCAGATGGATGCATGGACAGGAGGACGGAGCCCCTCGGGTGAGGAAGGTCCATAACCAGCCTGGCTGCTTCCTTTTCCACTCAAATTCTGATGCTAAAAAGGCTGAGGGCATGGCTGGAGTAACATCTCCCTGATCTGAGGTGCTTCTCCCACCCTAGCACCCTCGGTCCTTCTGGCATCCCTTCTTTCACCTTTTTTTCCCCTTTGTTCTCCCTTTTTTCCTTGCTCTTTCCACTGCTTTCTGTGCCACTGCCACACTGTTTTTTCCTTCCATCTCTTTTGTTCTCTCCCTCCTTCCCAAGCTCTCTGCCTGTAACTCTCTGCCTTCCTGCCTTCACTCCCTAACCCCTGTGCACGATCAATTCTTGGGATTGGGTTTTTAATTGTTTTGGGAAATCCAAGGCAAAAATCCAGGCCCCTTTTTTTTTTCTCTCTTTTTTTTCCCCTTCATTTTTTTTTTTTTTTTTTTTTTTACTCCTCTTCTTTTGGCTGCAGCTTATCAATGATGCAAGAGGAATAACGCCAATTTACTTAGAATGTGTAATCCCCAAATCAGATTGGGGGATTGTATGAGGCAATATGACCTTGCATATGTCTCCATTAAAGCCAGCCAGGCCTCCTCTTGTATTCTGTGTTCCCAGTACATATTTAGACAGATAACGCTAATTGTACTTGACATGTCCTCTTAAGGATGGACTCTTCCCTCCCCCAGCTCTGCTTCCCTGCCTGACAATGTGCCAGAGCCCAGCCCGCTGCCTGGCAGTGTGGCACGGCACAGCACCTGTGGGACAGCCTGGCACGGCCCCCGCGGCCACCCAGCACGGCACCCTCTGTGGGGACAAGGGCCAGGCTGCTGGGACACAGCTGATCTGAGATTACACTGCTGCTGTGCCCATTGTGGCTTCCCCAGGAAAAAGCCTTCAGACAAAGAGAGGAGACTTGCTCACCATGAACATCTTTGAAGTCTCCCTCCTTTCCCATGATGGGCTTCTACCCCACACCTCTTAGTTCCCACATCTGCTTTGGGTAAGAATTTGTATTTGGCTACTGGACCCCAGATGCAGCTTCTAGGGAACATCACTGGAAAATCATAAAGTCCTATAATGGTTTGGGTTGGAAGGGACCTTTAAAGGTCATATAGTCCAACTCCCCTGCCATAGGTAGGGACACTTTACACCAGACTGGTTTGCTTCAAGCTCAGTCCAACCTGGCCTTGAACACTTCCAGGGATGGTGCAGACATAGCTTCACTGAGCAACCTGTGCCAGGGTCTCGCTACCCTCACCATAACCATTTTCTTCCTTATACCTAGGCTAAATTGTGCCTCTTTTAGTTTAAAACCATCACCCCTTGTCCAATCACTATAGGCCCTGCTAAAAAGTTTGTCCCCATCTTTCTTGTAAGCCTCCCTGAAGAAGCTCTGAAAGGTTGCCTCTTCCCTGTGCCTGTCATTCATCACTGCTCCAGAGCAGACGTGCAGGACGCAGGAGGAGGAGGAGGAGGAGGAGGAGGAGGAGGAGGGGAGCTTATTCCAAGGAAACCAATGGATCCAAACTCTTCGCCAAAGTGGACTCAGTTTTTTTTTTCCCCTTGACACAACATCCTAATTCGACTTTTTCAGTATCTTTCCTTCAACAACCTTTTTTCCTTCCTCCCCTTCCTACCCGGCAACTGCGCATTTATTAATTCATGAGGCACTAATTAGTTCTTTGTTTAATTTTGTGTTAAACAGACTGACCGGAATGATAACGACTTGCAGCGTTGCATTACGGTCCCCAACCGCCCCTGTTTTCTGACAACAAGGGAGCGCAGTGAGACTGGCGTGATGAACCCCAATTCCCACTCCAGTTGCACTTCATTAAGTCAAAATGTGACAAGAAGCTTAGAGAGCAACTTTCAGATCGGATCGCACATAACAATTGGGCAGGAAACTTTCCAAGGGGGAAGCGCGAGAGGCACTCACAGCGAAGGCTGGCACCGCGCAGTCCCCTGGCGTGCCTGCCTTAAAGGAGCAGCTCAGGCTGTCCAGGCAGGGCTCAGGGCATGTGCTGGGAGCACCGAGTGCCAGAGGAAGAAGAGGAAAGGAAGGGCAGCAAGACAAGCCAAAGGCACAGCAGGGCAGGACAGGAGGCATCATGTGCTCCCCTTGTTTCCTTTGCAGTGATGGGTTGTGTTGGCAGCCTGTGGGATGGGTTGTGATGAGAAACTCGGAGCCCAGGTGGGATAATGCCTCAGTGGGTCACTTCATGAGCTTTGAGGACATCTTCAGGCACCTTCAACTCCATGCCTCAGTTTCCCCCCTGCAGCTCTACAGTGACACTGGTGACACTCAGCTGCTCTTCAATTGTCAAGAAGTGACGATTACCATGGAGCCCCTAAGCTGCAAAGGGAGGAGGTGAATCCTGGCACCCACATTGCTAAAATCAGAAGGGAAGAGACAGCTCTGACAGCAGGGAGAGGGATGCCCGCCCTCCTGGAGAGGAAGCTGTGCCTGCCTTCAACCTTGTGCAGTGCCTGACACTCCAGTGGCACTACCAAGTTTTGAAAAGGTCCTGAGCAGTATAGCAAGAGCAATAAATCTGATAGACTGCAAAGCAAGCAGAGGAGGTGGTTCACTGAAGGGCAGTGAGATGCAAACAGGAAAGTGAAAAGGGTCTTAAAACACCACCTCAAAGGGGGTGGGGTATGACAAAGAAAAGAAGACTATCCCAGTGCACAGAACATGGAAGTTTTGCCACAAATCAAATACATCTTCTGTTATTGCGGAGACATCTGCTGTGGGAATAAACCAAGACCACCTAAAAGTGAAATGGGTGGCAAGGTCTCAATGACTTTTCTAGCAAATATTTTTCCCACACTTCTCATCCCTCTCCCTCTTCCCTCAGGATAGGAAAACTCATCCCCTAGCCTTGCTCTGCAGAGACCCAAAGCTCAGCTAAGGTCCAAAACACCGGCAGAGCAATGTGAGGGACTCTGAGAGTGTCATCAGGACTGGGAAGGGACACCAGAGCTGTGAGGGAGTGCACAGGCATGTGTCCTGGGCAGGGCAGGGCAGGGCAGGGCAGAGCCTGCAGCTGAAGCCTCTGAGCCCCCAGGAGACCTGCCGGCTCCAGGCTCTACATGCATTATCAGTGCTGTACCTGAATGAGCTGTAATCGTAGCAATCTTTGGGAAAGAGGCCAGGCTGCAGCAAGGCAGCACAGCATGGTGTTTGCCCGTACACTCACAGCTGAACAACACGCAGATCCGAGAGCAGACGTGTTTGCGCTGGCTTCCATCTTTCATGAATCTGGAATGCAGCAGGGACCTCTGTGACTGACAAAAAGGCTGTTCCTCCATGACAGAAATCCCAGGAAGACAGCACATCCCTCTGATTTCACTTATATATGTGCTCTGGATCCCATAAAAAGGCATTTGTAGATATTAACACTCAGTTGGAGGGCTGGAATGGTATCCAGTAAGGGCAAATCACCCATTTAACACCTGAAGCAAGGACAACTGAGAGTCCAGGATTCCTGGGGACAAGAAACATACCCTGCTGTCACCAGCCCAACAAAGCTTCCTGGTTTTGCAGAGGGGTTGGAATATTCTGGCTGCTCTATAGATCCAGTTGAGCAGCCTCACCCAGCTATTGTCTCCTGCCAATCTTGGACTGCTCAGCTGAAAAGGCCTGGGCTGAAGGAGAGGGAAACTCGTGTTATTTCCCATTTCTCCCTTTTTTGGCTGCTATTACAAGGCAACACCAGCAGTGTAGCACAAACCAACTCCATCCCCAGCTGTAGGGCTACACAGCTGCCAGCGCTCCCAGCAAA